CATTCCTGTATATATATACCTGTAATATGCACACGTTACTTGCCAATAAATCGCAATTACTTCAGTTTCAATGATCAACATGAGGAAAGTAAAATTCAACGAATGGTTCACGATAGTGATCACATAGGAAGTGCTCGAACCCCTCTCTCCTAATGACAAAGTGTCATACACGCGAGTTAGCACACATCACATACACACATCGCATAGATCGGTCAAGTTAGCAAGTTCAAAATTGCAATTCTCAAGAAAAGGTTTAAAAATACTATCATAAATATATCTTTATCGTAAATAAATGTCAACGTAATGGCGTCAGGTGGTAGTCGATCCCTCTGCTTAATTTACGAAGCTTCCTGATTCGATTATAGCATACGCGAGCGTAATCTCGGCAATCTTTATGTCCGGGAAGACAGCTGTGTTTGTTTGTTAACTATTACGTCCAGTCCGCTTCGTTACACCGGCTCGTTTTCAACAGGTAGGAAACGAGCTGGGGTATGCTACCCTAACTTTTACGCCTACTGCTAGGTATATAGCGAGCAGCATGAGAGCGTAGGAAAGCGTAGGCTTCCGTGTAGGTGTTCTTCAAAGTTCAATCAGAGATCACTCTTCATATAAATCACCTTCGTCGTATGAACATATTACAGACAGTAATTGGAAAACCGTATTTCCAATAGCCTAATTGAGGAAACAACGTGACTAAGAGAAGGAAGTATAGTATATTTCTGGAATACGTTTAGTATAATGATTTTGAACTGTCGTTTACGAGAGGATTCGAACAGCTTTACGAGCACTTAACCTTTGCAAAATATCACGTGCAATTGTTATCCTATTTTATTCCTCTCGATGGGGAGGGGGAATGTTGCATGCAGATAAATCCAAGGATATTTACCTTTTTAAGATGAAACTCGGTTCTGAGTCGAAAAAATATTTTCTAGCTGCAGGGAATAAATTTATATTGAATAAATTTTCAAAATAGGGTGTGTCGAGTGAAATATAAAAATCGGGGGCACGCTGGGGAAATTAGGAAAAATTTGACAAATATCGAAGAATTCTTGGAAAATTAAATACGAACGAGATTATCTAAATTATTCCTAATTATTTATATATGTCGCAAAACTTTCTTCAGGTGCAAGGGGTCTCATAAATTTTCAAAAGTAGGGTGTATCGAGTGAAATATAAAAATCGGGGGCACGCTGGGAAAATTGGGAAAAATCTGACAAATATCGAAGAATTCGTGGAAAATTAAATACAAACGAAATTATCTAAATTATTCAAATTATTTATATATGTCGCGAAACTTTCTCCAGGTGCAAGGGATCTAATAAATTTCCAAAATAGGGTGTGCGGAGTGAGATATAAAAATAGGGGGCACGCTGGAAAAATTGGGAAAAATCTGGAAAATGTCGAAGAATTCGTGGAAAATTAAATACAAACGGGATTATCTAAATTATTCTAATTATTTATACATGTCGCAATACTTTCTCCAGGTGCAAGGGGTTGAATAAATTTCCAAAATAGGGTGTGCGGAGTGAGATATAAAAATCGGGGGCACGCTGGAAAAATTGGGAAAAATCTGGAAAATATCGAAGAATTCGTGGAAGATTAAATACGAACGAGAGTATCCGAAGTATTTAGATTATTTATATATGCTCTGCATATTTGAATACCTTTGTCGATTTCCATAAATGATATGCTCGTATTCAATCTTTAACGAATTCTGTACTCGACGTCGGATTTTTTCATAATTTTCCCTGTGCATTTCCAAGACACGTGCGCTACTTCGTGCGTAATAAAATGTTCAAAGCTTCGAGTATTTAATTTAGCAATAATTCGCCAAGTTGCTCCATAATTTTCGCGAGCGACTGTAGACATTGGGGGGTGGTTCGTAACCTAATTTCGAAATTCTCGAATCCTAAATTCGAAACTTTGCAGGATTTCGGTTCTCGAAATCAAGATCCATATCCTTAACCGATTTCCCACTACTCTCTCTAAATTTCGCGAAAAATATCAAAAATTTTCCGATTTTTAAATTCTTATCCGACATGCATGGTTAAAATGAGAGTGCAAGGGCTGTCGGGGGACAGTTCTGCGGGTGAACAAACAGAAGAAGCGTGAAAGACAGTTCTGCGTGAGAACATATAGAAGAAGTGTGAAGCTAGTGCGAGTGTGAATATTTCGATAGTCCTTTAGCTTGTAACTCACTTTAGTCTCTTAGCTCGTAATTAAATATATACTGAAAGCAATAACACCATTATATAACACCTTTATACTAATCGAAACCATATCTCTACATAAATAAATTCTCAATTTTCGATTCTTCAATTTACAAATTCTCGCAACTCGTCGGAATCTCGAAATTTCTCGCAGACTCGCGCAAGAAGTCCCTGATATCGATACTGCACGAGATCATTGGATATCCGCGTGACGATCGACAGGGAAAAACGGCCATGGAAGAAAGTAAATACCCCTGAATCGTAACCATTTTTTCCTTCACGACCATTACATCGATCCCCGAGAAAATCACGAGGAAATCACGAGCGGAATGGAAGGTATGGATACACCAGGGAGCACGGTGCATCTACGAAGAAGCAAGCTCCGGAGCAGCAATTACCGTATCCAAGCAAACGGTACTCGAATATCGGGTCGAAGACATAATTTTCTCTTCGAGGCTCGCCTCGATTAATTATTTTTCAGATGGCCGTGGAACGCGATAATAATTATAATCCCGGTCAGCCGGCCGCTGACACCCCCTTTTTATCTGCGTTGCGGGGGTGCAGTTGGCCGTGCTTGCGTTTTATATGTCGTTACCGATGCCTTCCACCGGAAGAAATTCAATTCCCTCCTCGTGTTCGAGCACAGTTTGATCGAGCAGCGCGTGCATGCGCGCGTATGCGGTGCTATCTGTCCGGTAAACGCATACACGGACGCCGTTTCAAGGCAGGCTCATTGTCGTTGAAGTGTCACACGTGAATTGCGGCGAATTGATTTATTCAGATAGTGGATGCTCAATGGAAAATCGTGCAACGTCGAAATCGAATCCGCCATACGCCGGCGTCAATTTCCGCGCGCGTGTCTTCTATATAAAAGTGGCCGACTATTTTTCCCGCTATCAGAGCGATTCCGCGTTGAAAAGCCAGTCGAAAAGGTGCGATCAAATTTTTCCCTAGGACGCCCCGTTTTCGTGGAAATCGGCTTTGAAATTGTGCGCGCGTAGCTAGCGTTTTCACGTTGCATTTTTGCTACAGTCCCGGTATCCGTGTTCGCGTTGACGAATGTACTTGGAACGGATTATCGCGCTACGCGTCGGTACTATCGTTTCCCTCCTAATCGACAGGGGTCGCTGTTCTGTTCGCCAATATGGCCGACACGCGCTGACCGCAAACCCACGAATATTCAAGGCGAATTTTCTCGAAAACGGAGCCGCGTATGGAAAAATGGCAAAGGATACTTTCGACGCAGTTTTTGGCGCAGAATCGGATACTTCATCGCGGGTGCATTTTGAGTTACTGTATTTCCTATATGAGCCGTTTACTGCACAAATTGATTAACCTCAAAAAGTGTAGAAATGCAATAAAATGATGTAGTTATGACTATATCAAGTGCTTTGATACTTAAATTTAAGATTTTTCAAAAAGTGGAATTAATCGATCTGTGCAGGGAACGGCTTATATATATATAAGTTCGAATAACTGTATATCTCGATGACAAATTTATTGCGCGTTAATTTAAGGCAATGGGAGTCACGTGATGAGTGTATCGGGAAGATTTTCGGTAATAACGGAATTATCAATTAAGCTGGGACAAAAAGGTGGAATTATCCCCGACGATGAATACGCGAATGGCGTTGCGCAAACACGTTATTTACCCTTTCGAGTTACACGGTACCCCCGCTGGATCGGTGATCTCTGTCTCAGGCGAATGGGAATTACCCATCGGCTCGTTCGCGTCAAGACAAATAAGCGGAATAACCCAGTTTCGTTTTAATTATCCCGAAAATCCGGCCGCGTGCGTGTGCTTTTAATCGAACCAGCGCGGTTTAATTCCATTTATGGACGTGCTCGGACTGCACGCAGTTGATACGTTGATTTAGCGAAATTAAGCGGTCTGCGAGGGCCGTTAATACCGTCTCTCGTCGCGTAAACGAGATCCAACGATGGCCGCCGATTTATCCGATCTTCCTTTTCTCTGTTGCAGTGAAGAAGGCGCGGTTCGTCTGCGAGGAAGGTTGGTATCCAGTGACGCAGCGGGACCAGAGTGCGCGGAGCGCAGAGCCAGGGATCCAAGGAACGGGCAACGGAAAAATCGTTGCATCGACCGATCCCTGAATCAGATGAATCTGCGTGCGCGATCGTGACGCAGGAATCACCGGGATTCGGGAACCGCGATCGAGATCGTGGCGAAAATTGAAATCGAGGCGATACCACGGCGAGACCGAGTCCTTACTCACGCTCCAGTTCTGGGTGCCGCGTAAAATTTGTTGCACTCCGATTGGAAGCGTTCCAAGCTAAAGGTTATGCGACTTCTCAACCGGAATATCGCGATGTTCTGTTCATGCCGAAATAATTTTTCCACGGCAGATCCATCGCGACGACGCCACGTTGCGGATGCCAGTCTCTCCTAGAAACCGCCCCTATTTTTACCGATGTTTGCCTCGCGCAAATAAACCATGCTCCAGTTCACTTCTGGACCCGAATCGTGTCAGGCTAGTACTTGCCGATCTTCGAGGATCGGTTAGCCTCTCGGTAGGACCTTCCGATGCCCTGCTCTGTGGTATTCTATGGTACCCTCCGATGCTCTGCGATAGTCACCGGTGGCTTAGGGTATCCTCCGGTGCCCTTTAACAATCCTCCGGTGCCCTACGGTGCCCTGCGGTATTCCTCGATGGCCTAGAGTACCCTTCGGCGCCTTGCGGTAATCCCCCGGTGCTCTGCGGTGCCCTACGATAAATTTCGGTGCCCCGCGGTAACTCTCCGGTGCCCTACGGTAACTTTCGGTGCCCTGTGGTAACACTTCGGTACTCTAGGATACCCTCTGGTGCACTGCGGTAAATCTCCGATGCCTTGTGGTGCCCTACGGTAACTTTCGGGGCCCTGCGGTAACTCTCCGGTGCCCTACGGTAACTTTCGGTGCCCTGTGGTAATTCACCGGTACCCTGCGGTACCGTTCGATGCCCTGTGGTAACTCTCCGGTACTCTAGGGTACCCTCTGGTGCACTGCGGTAACTCTCCGGTGCCCTGTGGTGCCCTGTGGTGCCCTACGGTAACTTTCGGTGCCCTGTGGTAACTCTTTGGCGCCCTGTGGTAATTTACCGGTACCCTACGGTAACTCTCCGGTGCCCTACGGTAACTCTTCGGCGCCTTACGGTACCCTCCGTCGACCAGCATTAGCTCTTCGGTGCCCTGTGGTACCCTACGGTGCCTTTCGGTGCCCTTGATCTTGCGCGATTTCTGCTCGCTCGCTCGTGACGTCGACGGGGTACCCCCCTCGGCTGAGATTCCGAGAAAAGCTTTGGACTTCGCTGGAAACGCTAATGACTGTGACGTACGTCAGCAGGGGTCGGCGGGAGTCACGCGATTCGTTGAAAATACCCCAGAGCAGAGAGGCCGGGAGTACGCGGAAATTTATTATCCGACGGCGGGATCGTTCCATTTCCCCGGTTGGAAAAAATCTCCCGCGCTCGCGATATCGCGTGGAAGCGGGTCAGTTCAGACGTACGTCGGTCGTGAAAGCCGCTTCTGGTTTTATTTTAACCGCGAAACGATTCATCAGCGCGGCGACTCTGGCGTTAACTATTCCGCTGCCGGTGCGCGCCGGTAATTTCTGGCGTCGCGCGATACTTAGAGCGAGACAACTTGCACGAACAACGGACGGTCCTTTGTACGGCCTGTTAGCGTTTAAACTTTTCAGATCGTGGTAATTTCCTGTTACGTCTGCCTGGTTTACCGCCACCGCGCCGCTTCACGCCATTCTCCCGTCACAGATAAAGGCCTCGAGACTTTCAGTGACTTCGCGTTCGTATCGCGCGTCTTTTTGTGTCCCGCGAATCACGGCCACGTGTGCTGCCGCTGCTGAACAGGGCAGGATGTGTTTTCGAGATACACTCGAGTGTGACGGCTGTGTACCAGGCGATCCGCGTTTGCGCGCAGTTTTACGTGAGGGGTGTAGATCGGATTTGTCGGGGCTGATGCTAAACCTGGCATATGTGGGTTAAACGGCCGTGACGTTCCCAAATTTTTTATTCAAAATTCCCCGTCCAATCTTATTTGTCAATTTGGTCAACCATTTGGTCAGCTGACATCGACATTTTTCTGTTCATTCATTTTTCTGTATCTTTTGTTCCTTCGATATTCTTTTCTTACAAAAGATTTTCCTTTCGGTCGCTTTTCATTAAAAATTCGGCATCAGTTGTTTGTCCATTTGGTCAATTGTTTGATCAACTTATTTGGACATTTTTCTGTTAATACATTTTTCGGTGTTTTCCATTCTTTCGATCTTCTTTTCTCGCAGTCGTTTTCGTTTTGGTCGTTCTTATTTAAAGTTTATCATTTTGGTCAACTATTTCGTTAGTTCACTTCGCGATATTTTTGTTAATTAATATGCGTATTTATTTGTTTAATTTCTTAAATGATTAATTATTTAAGTATTCAGTTATTTAATTATTTTATTATTTAAATAATTAATTTTGTAATATCTTCTATTATTCTATTTTTTCCTTTTTCTTTCTTGGGGTAGTTTCCCTTTTCTTTTCTCTCTTTTCATCCCTTTTGGTCTTTTTTATTTAAAATTTGTCTTTTTGGTCAACAATTTCGTTAATTGACTTCGCGATATTTTTGTTAATTAATATGTATATCTATATTATATAATTAATTTTGTAATATCTTATATTATTCTATTATTTTTCTTTTTCTTTTCCTTGGGGTAGTTTCCCTTTTCTTTTTCCTCTTTTCATTCCTTTTGGTCGTTTTTATTTAAATTCAAGATATTTTTGTACATTAATATCTACATCTGTATATAATTAATTTTGTAATATCTTCTATTATTCTATTTATTTCTTTTTTCTTTTTTTCTTGAGGTAGTTTTCCTTTTCTTTTTCCTCCTTTTATTCAAAATTCGGTCCCTATTGTTTGTCACTTTTGTCAACTATTTGTTAAATTAACTTATATATATATAAATAATTTTTCAGTATTTTCTGTTATTCGATTCTTCTTTTCTTGAAGTCATTTCCCTTTTATTTTTCCTTTTTCTATTCAAAAATCGGCCGTAAATTGTTACTTTGGTCAGCTATTTGGTCAGTTTTCTTCGCCATTTTTATATTAATTAATTTTTCAGTATCTTTCGTTGTTCCATTCTTTTCTTGGCGTCGTTTTTCTTCTGTTCTTTTTTATTAAAAATTCGACATCAATTATTTTTCACTAACTGGTCAATTAATTACCGCGGTCACTTAGTTTATATATATAATTAATTTTCTATTATCTTCGGTTCTCTGGAGTCGCTTTTATTTTGTTCTATATTAACCGTGCAATTTCGATGCGAGGAGCTATTTGTTCGTCATTCGTGACTGTGGGTAGACCGATATAGCGAATTCTTAGTTGTGTCGTGTCGATAGTCGCATTCGATCGTGTCGATTGATTTTCCAGATAAGCAACAACGTATCGGGCATATAAATGTATTCATACTTTCATGACGTGGAAATTCAACATAGTTTCACAGAGAAACACGCACGATAGCGTTATCCTATAACAGTGTACTTGGGTTAATTGATTTTGCTCGCAATGAGAATAATAATACCGTAAAATACATTGTCGGTTTTGTAATTCGAGGTAAAGTGGGATCGAAAGTTCCCCTGTGTGCAGCTGTATAAATATAGCTCCCAAAAAGAAGATGAAATTCAATTAAAATCGAACCAGGTGCAGGCAGCGTTGTTTACGTCGAAAGAACGAAGCATAATTTATTGTTTCTATTATTTACGACTCTCGTCGTCCCAAAAACGAAAAATTAAACTTAAAAACGAATTAAGTTCGAATAATATGGAACAAACAGTGTCATACTAATCAAGAAAGCTATTTCTAAACCTAGTTGGTACCAAATTCATTCGCATCGAAACAACAAGAATACATCATCATTACATAATTAAAAAAACAATCTCGAATTAGATACGTAATTGAAAAAAAAATCTCGAATTACAAGCTTCGCGATGTTAAAAAAGAAAATCTAAAGAAAGGAAATCTAAATTTAAAATTCGCAATTTACATTATTATATTATAATTAAAGAAAAAGAAATCTGGAATTACAAGTTTCCCGAAATAAAAAGGGAAATTTAAAAAGGGAAATCTGAAATTAAAATTCGCAATTTACATTATCACAACGTAATTGAAAAAAGAGAAAATTTGGAATTACAAGCTTCGCGATATAACGGTTTAAAAAGGGATACCTGAATTTAAAATTCGCAATTTACATTATCACAACGTAATTGGAAAAAGAGGAAATTTGGAATTACAAGCTTCGCGATATTAAAAAAGAAAATCTAAAGAAAGGAAATCTAAATTTAAAATTCGCAATTTACATTATCATATTATAATTAAAGAAAAAGAAATCTGGAATTACAAGTTTCCCGAAATAAAAAGGGAAATTTAAAAAGGGAAATCTGAAATTAAAATTCGCAATTTACATTATCACAACGTAATTGAAAAAATTGGAAATTTGGAATTACAAGCTTCGCGATATATCGGTTTAAAAACAGATACCTGAATTTAAAATTCGCAATTTATATTATCATATCGTAATTAAAGAAAAATAAATCTGGAATTACAAGTTTCCCGAAATAAAAAGGGAAATCTGAATTTAAAATTCGCAATTTACATTATCACAACGTAATTGAAAAAAGAGGAAATTTGGAATTACAAGCTTCGCGATATAACGGTTCAAAAAAGGGATACCTGAATTTAAAATTCAATTTTACATTATCATTATATAATCGAAAGAAAAAAGAAGAATTGGAATTCGAATTTTCGCGAATCAACAATTCAGAAAATTCGTAGCCTGAACTTAAACCCGAATGAAAATCGGACAAGTCCTAAACCCCTTGGTACGTAGCAAAAAGTCTCATAAGACGCAGTTGGTACCCAAAGTTGCGTGAACATGGTACCGAAATAGGTCAGAGCGACGTAATATGTCGAATATTCGAAAAGTTGGAAATAATAAAAAGAGTGTACACCGTGCGAGGACCAAGGCAAAAGGAACGTTGCACCATAGAGGCAAATAGGCGTGACTCTGGTCGCTCTGTATTGCGCATAGACGCTGCTTGCACCTGCCTGCATCTCTGATGCATTAGCCTGGGACGATACTGCGACACGGAGGTCACCGAGATTTCAGGGTCGCCTTAGGTACTCGGGTCCTTCCCCTTAGGATCCACTCGATACGCCAGGAGTAACTTGGCACCTTGTCGCACTCGGCGTCAAGGTCTCCTTAGCCCAAGGGACCACTCGATTCCAGAGTCTCTCTGCACGAGGGTTCGCTCGTCTGCAGAGTTCTTCTACCCCGAGGAACCACTTCGTCCACAGGGTTCGATCACACCGAGGTGTCACTTGACCATTGGGTCCATTTAATCCAAGGGTCCAATCCGTACAGGTCCACTTACCTTCGGCTCAGTCGCTGCAGTTCTTGGGTCTCAAGCTTGCTGGCTCACGAGACCAATGTTAAGACGAACGTGATCTTCGATTGCGAGTAGAATCCCCGATCACCGATACCAAACGAACCCGTCGATTAAGCGATCCATGAAATTGAACGCTGTTCATTTGCGAGTAGAATCCCCGATCACCGATACCAAACGAACCCGTCGATTAAGCGATCCATGAAATTCAACCCTCGGTACGAGTGGACTCAGGGATCACGTGTTCCTGATGACGAGTGGACTCTTGAACCAAATAGGTCCCCGATATGTGCCTCGGGTGTAAGTGGACTCTCGAACCAAATGGATCCCGGCTCGAAACGACCCAGGGGACCGCGTGATCTCTGAAGCCAAGGTGATCTTGGGCTCCAGATATTGTCTTAGCTAGATGTAGCTAGATGCTAGCTAGATGTCTCAGTCAGATATTGTCTTAGCTCAGTTCTACGAGGTTGCACGATTAGCTCAATCGTTTGCGAGGCTTCCAATGCTTCATTTATTACTTGTTTGACGAGTTTCGATTCATCCCTGTCCCACATCTCAATATGGAGGACACTCTCCTTGCAGAGGCCTAAATCTCTGTGTGCAGTTGCACGGGTCCCAGGCCATTTCAATCCCGTCTCGTCAGAATTGTCTGATACGAGTCTCGAAGAATCCAAGAAGACCTATTCCGTGTCTCGTACACTATGGTTGACTATGCTCCGTGCCATGAATCTTGAAACGCAAGTATCAGCTCCGCGAGAGTTCATTGTCCCCGTCCCTTCGGGTCGTCTGTGTCCTTTGTGTCGCGTCTGGAACCCCGAGTCCAGTCTTTGACCAGTTATCGAGATCCGACTAGCACTGCTGGCGTCTCGAATTTTCATCCCGCTTATCGGTGCCTCCCATCCGCGGATCGAATTTTCAAACAGCGTTCCGTCGCTAGCTCGCAGCGTGAACGACCCGAAACTATGCTAATGTATGCAGGTATTTAAATAACCGAGTGCAAGCGCTTTTTCTGCCTCTCGAATTAAGGAGGCAGCCTTACGTTTGCACGGATGTACGACCACGAGGAATTGTTTAGAACCTCGCGATCACAGGCGATGTATCATGCAAATCAGGCTGAAGCATTCTTCGTCAGTGGCGGGTGACGCGCTGCTGCTGGCAATCCGACGATTTCGGATGAAACAAGGCGGTAACAAGAGCTTCGATTGTTAGGCTCCTATGTGTGCCTCGTTTAGGTGACACCTTTGCGATCTTCGTCAGTAATCCGCTCAGCTGCGATTATATTTAGCCGCTATTAAATGATCATTGATGATGCAAATGTGAATGTTCCTCTTTGTGAGCATTCCTCACGGTACAACTGTAGTGGTGTCATTCTCAATCTCGTCAATAGACGGATTCCTAGTTGAAGGTGGTGATAGGACTTTCTCCCAAGTTCTGGGTAATTTTCAAACCCTCCAATAGGATCCCTGTCTAAGGCAGGGTCTGCTAGGTAGTCTTACCGATGAGTCCACTAGCAGTTCCAGGACTAAAAGCATCCTATCCTTACCCTTTGGTTCCCTTCTAGCACCACCGTCACATCGAGGATACCTGCGACCAGTTGACATCAACAATCTAGTTGACAACAACCCCTCACATAACCTATATTCTTCACAAAGGTTAGGTGTAGTCTCACGACTACTGTTGAAGCAATCTGCAAATCAACGATTCGACGAAATTAACACATTGCGTATTGCATAGAAATCTCTAAGATATACGCCAGGGATCGTACCTTTTGACATGACAGTGTGTTGACATCTAAGGTCCATAACAGATGATTTCGCGCGTGAAATACGAGAAAACTTATGAGCGATGCGTAATATATCGATTAACCCCTTCGAGCCATTCCATGGATAGGCAAATCAGTCTTAAGTTGCACCAATCGCACACGACTTACATGGTACACATCAACAAAGCACGGGTGTGACACGTGGTGTTCGTATTTGGCCCGACCGACGTATCACGTGTCAGACTCGTGATAATCAAGTTCGACCCGACCGATGTACCACGTGTCAGACTCGTGATAATCAAGTTCGACCCGATCGATGTACCACGGACCAGGCTCGTGATAAACAATTTTGGCTCGAAAGCCTGATCACGAGCCTGACACGTGGTTGTAGGCCAAAGGGCTAAGCTGTTTACTCGGAATAATTTGTACTACCCGTTTCCTAGTCTCTTGATGATCACCAGTGTCCATCGGTTAGGGGTGTAGACTCGGAGAGCTCGGTGTTATCGTTGTGCTCTCGTTTATGGAAAGAATGTCATCACGTTTGCCAGCAAATGTGGTAGTTTAGTCGCATTGGGGACGGGCATCGAGCGTCGTAAAGTCGCGACGAGGAGGTTTTTTTCGCCGGTTATCGAGAGCTTGCAGCCGGAATGTGTACCCGGGCGCCGACAACGCGGGCGAGAGCTTATGGAGCTTTACGGTCGGTCTGCGCTGTTTTCCAGACACGCGGCAGGGTCGAAAGACCGTCCGTATCCTTGGTAAATTGAGAACCGATCGGACTTGCCTCGGAAGAATGTCACGATTCTATATATCCGGCTGGGTCCCGGTCTGTTATCGATTCGACATCGGATGTTCCCGGTCGCCATGGGTTGTTAGACGGGTCAGGCCTCGAGAGGTTATCGGCGAAATATCGCCGCGTACGATAATAGTCTGCTTCTCTTTAATTATGCACGGAAGAACACTCGAAAGTCCTCGGCCAGTTTTCCGTAAATAACTTTTTAATTGTCCCATGGCGTAGGGCTAGCTGACGTTCCACCTACGCCGCTGGTCCTCGACCACGTGCAAAATATTTTACTATTTTTCCCCGGTCCAACTCGCTTTTCAGCTCCGGTAATTAAAGGATTTTTTTAATTAAACGTACTCACGTCCCGGTCCAATCTGGCGTTCGAATAACGACGTTAGAGGAATATAGATAGGAAACCGGGAGGAAAAATGTAATTTGTTAGGATTTTTCTCGAACCAGTCTCGCGCGATCCTTTGATACCGAGCAAGGTACAATGTGGATTAACGAGGGATCAACTACCGAGCTGATCCGGTTCATTTGCCTCGACGAAAGTGTCCACTGTGCTCTCAGACTAGGCTCAGGAATGATCAGTTTTTCATCGCGACCTACGCTATCGACCTACGCGTTTCCTGGGGATACCTGCTTCCTGGTTACTTGCTCGCGTGGCGTTTAATATATCGGCCGCGCGGAATAAATCCCGGTTCATCGGGTCGTAAATAATTTTCGGTCCAGGCACGCTATCCGCGTCTATTTATCATCGTCAACGTTTCCATTTCCACGGGACAGATTTCTTTTACGAGCCGCGTCTCTTAGCGCGATCAATGAGAGTCGCATAACCTACGGAGAGGGTCTATAGTGACCCCTGCGCCACGATCGTCGTTGGAGAACAACTCGACGGATTCGTCGGGATTCAGAGCCGATTCAGAACCGATTCACCACCCATTTCAGCGGAGCAGTTCAACTCCTACGTAACGCTGAAGCTGCAGAACGTGAAGTCGACTACGGTGACGGTGAAAGGGGCCAATCCATGCTGGGAGCAAGACTTTCTTTTGTGAGTACAGCATTTGTTGAATTACTCGCGATATCGTGGGACAGGCGAGTCCCTTTCACCCTTTTCACAGTTTATACTCGCGTCAGTTACTCGGATGATCCATCAGTTCTAGGTGATTTTGTGTTCAAAGCTGAGAGAAACGCTGAGAGATCTTTGATACCACTTTCCTAGGTGATATTCATCTTTGGAAACTGTACTGTAATTATATTTCTCTAAAACTGATTGATTATCTGGCTAGATTACCGAATTTGCGGTTCTTTGGTTAGAGAACGGACTCGGGAGATACGAGCCGTGGTGGCGCTAGTGAGTTAAGCGCAAAGCTGAGAGAAATGCTGATAGATCCTTGATACCATTTTTCTAGGCGACGTTCATCTTTGGAAACTGTACTGTAATTATATTTCTCTAAAGCTCATTGATCATTTAGGTAACTTACGAATGTGCGTCGCGGGTAGAGAACGGGCTCGGGAGATACGGGCTGTGGTGGCGCTAGTGAGTTAAGCGCACAGTCGTCTTGGCGCTGAACCTTTCGCTAGCTCACTAGCTTCTCGTCTATTTCCACAATTTCTCGACTACACAAGATTCGTCTTTATCAATCTACTTCCTAATAAATACATAAATCTTCTGTTCCATAACTCGTTTAACGTTTCAATTAAAATTTCTCGAAACGGAGACCACGGACGTATCATCCTAAGTTCGAACCCAGCAATTCGACCCGCGTATAACCTCCTCATTAAAATCAGCAAATGTACCCGTTCAAATTCGCGTATTTACCAAGGGATATCACGCGGAATCCACGAATTCTGTGAGAACAATTCCACGATTTGGATAAAAGAGAGGAACGATTTCGAATTTCGAATTTAAATCTGGCTCAGGATTCATCGCGGTCAATTTCTTTCGTTCCCGACGGTAGGCAGGGTTGTATAAAAATGGCAAGGGCCGCGAGAAATCGACGTGGTGCGGAGTGTGCGCGTTATGGGGCTACGCTCATTACAGAGTTTGCTCCTGGGTAACGCTTGGGGTCTTCGTGATCGACTATCGAACCCCCTTAACGGATAATCCTACCCGTGGCTGACGTATAAATAGTCGACTAGTGGGCACAATGAAATTGCGCGTTCGCGATTAGCTAATTTCGATTTTCCACCCTCTTTCACCCCTCCGCCCTCTCGTGCTTTTTACTTCCAATTCGGTTCTTATCTCTTTCATCCCCCCGTGATATTTCCCGTTCGAGTATCGATCTCTCTGCGGAAGAGAAGTGGACTTTTCTGCCGGCCTGCTCGGTGTAATTACGCTTTGGAATAATTTCCTCCGCGTCCTTTGCCCGGCCGGCTTTATCATTCCGACATTATCACTGGTACCCGGGCTCAGGCGATGCGACGCGTAGCATGATCTGCTTATTTATAAAAAGGGACGATGGTGGATGTAATATTCGAGTATTTGCGGCTGCTCTTTATTATTAGCCCGGTTTCCACCTACCCTCTTTCTCTCGCGCTTTCTTCCTGCTCCCTTGCTCCCGTGTCCGCTTTATTCACCGGCAGGTTAGATTCCTCAATGAAAGTACCCGCGACGTGATTTTATTTTCGATGTTAAGCAGACCACGGCGCAGATTCATTGAATAGTTCGGATCGCGACAGGGGCTGCGAACAATCGGACACGTTCGTTAACGCGTTGATGGCTGAAAGAAGCGAAAATTGGATAAGTTCGCGCGAGACGCGGGGCTAAAGCTGAATTCTGATGCGGATTCTGAGGATTTTAATAGGCTATTTTGAATTAATACCGTGGAACGTGGTGAGCCATCGTTCCGAGTATAAAAATTGCATTGGAATAGTAGTATGGAAATCAGATTTGATATGATGCTGTGCAAGATTGGCTTTGGATCATTTAGGATTGACTGATGGGAATAATTTATGTGTAGTGTCTGTCATCCTGATAGAGTCAGATGACGTTCCTGTGTTTATTTTGAGGACCAGGATAGGGGTTGCTATAGGGATTGCCATAAGTTATTAAAATATAGAATTGTTAATAATAATTAAAATTTTTATTATCAACTATTCTGCTAGAGTAGTACTTATTTTAGAGATTAGGATAGATGTCTCGGGTTGTTATAAGCTATTACAATATAGAATTGTTAATAATAATTAAAATTTTTATTATCAACTATTCTGCTAGAGTAGTACTTATTTTAGAGATTAGGATAGATGTCTCGGGTTGTTATAAGCTATTACAATATAGAATTGTTAATAATAATTAAAATTTTTATTATCAACTATTCTGCTAGAGTAGTACTTATTTTAGAGATTAGGATAGATGTCTCGGGTTGTTATAAGCTATTAAAATATAGAATTGTTAATAATAATTAAAATTCTGATTATCAAGTATCCTGTTAGACTCATATCTATTTATTGTTGTATTTATTTTGAAGACCAGGATAGCTGTCACGGGTTGGCATAAGTTATCAAAATATAGAATTGTTAATAATAATTAAAATTCTGATTGTCATCTATCCTGTTAGAGTCGTATATATTCATTACTGTATTTATTTTGAAACCCAGGATAGCTGTCATAGGTTGGTATAAGTTATCAAAATATAGAATTGTTAATAATAATTAAAATTTTGATTATCATCTATCCTGTTAGAGTCGTATATATTTATTACTGTATTTATTTTTAAGACCACGATAGTGTCTCAGGTTGTCATAATTTATCAAAGTATAGAATTGTTAATAATAATTAAAATTCTGATTATCAACTATCTTATTGGAGTCGTATATATTTATTGCTGTATTTATTTTGAAGACCAAGATAGAGGTCTTGGATTGCCATAATTTATAAAAATATAGAATTGTTAATAATAATTAAAATTCTGATTATCAACTATCCTACTAGAATCGTATTTATTTATTGCTGTATTAATTTTAAAGACCAGGATGGAGGTCTTAGATTGCCATAAATTATCAAAATATAGAATTGTTAATAATAATTAAAGTTTTAATTATCAACTATCTTGTTATAGTCGTATCTATTTATTTCTGTATCTATTTTGCAGGCCAGGATGGAGGTCTCGGATTGCCATAATTTATCAAAATATAGAATTATTAATAGTAATTAAAATTCTGGTTATCAACTCTCCTATTTCAGTCGTGTCTATTTATTGGTAAAGATCAGGAGATTTATTTATTTTTAAAGACCAGAATAGAAGTCTTAGGATGCCATAAGTTATCAGAATTTAGAATTGTTAATAATAATTAAAATTTTGATTATCAACTATCCTATTGGAATCGTATCTATTTATTGCTGTATTTATTTTGAAGACCAGGATAGAAGTCTCGGATTGCCATAAGTTATCAAAATAATATACAATTGTTAATAATAATTGAAATTCCGATTATCAACGGTACAGTTGTGAATCAATTAACGTCTATCTGTGATTTTTTAACGTGTGTATCTTTAGATCATTTTTGAAATTCTTAAGAGACGATAAGATTACTCTCGAGTTGTTTTTCTCCTGCAATTTCGTTGACAGATAAAAATATATCACTGAAATTGTATCTCACCGGGAATAACACGTGAATTTTTTATTCAAAATCTCTGTCGAGAGAAAATGTTTGTCAAATTATTTTCATCGACGCTTGTGAATAATCTACACAGTGTTTGTATCTGCCTTTTCCATCATTTTTCCATTGTAATACCGTCCAACAGGTTATCCAAATATCTCCCTTGTGAAAAAATACTTGAAACTCTATTCACTATCGTATCATACCTAAATACACAATAGTATACACAGACAGTGATAATTAATCAAATAACTATATCAAATCATATTTCCATATAAATAAATACGAATATATTAATTTCTACAAGTTAAATAAAACAATTTAAAATAATATTAAAAATTTGGAATACGTAGTATACAGTGTTTACACTTTAAATTTCACCCCTAAATATACAATAGTGTACACAGACAGTGATAAACAAATAATTATATCAAATCATATTTCCATATAAATAAATACGAATATATTAATTTCTACAAGTTAAATAAAACAATTTAAAATAATATTAAAAATTTGGAATACGTAGTATACAGCGTTTGCACTTTAAATTCCACCCCTAAATATACAATAGTGTACACAGACAGTGATAAACAAATAATTATATCAAATCATATTTCCATATAAATAAATACGAATATATTAATTTCTACAAGTTAAATAAAACAATTTAAAATAATATTAAAAATTTGAAATACGTAGTATACAGCGTTTGCACTTTAAATTTCACCCCTAAATATACAATAGTGTACACAGACAGTGATAAACAAATAATTATATCAAATCATATTTCCATATAAATAAATACGAATATATTAATTTCTACAAGTTAAATAAAACAATTTAAAATAATATTAGAAATATGGAATACGTAGTATACAGCGTTTGCACCCCTTTTTCCAAATCAAGAACGTGTACGTAAATATTTCATTTAAAAAGAAGGAAAATATCAATTAATAAATTGTATTAACGGAAATAATAAATTGTATTAAAATAATGTACATTATGTATCAAATATTTATCCAACAATAATTACCATTTCGTTAAAGTACACATGTATCACGTACGCAGAGTAGGCTTCCAAAGACGGCGAGGAACGAGGTGTATGAAGTTGTGCCAAGTTACGCAACGTTACGAACGTGATCCGCATTCCCGCGTACGCACGGAAGAAACGTGTGCTTCCGGCGCAAGGAGCCGGTAGAAAATGGCGGCGGGCCGGCCGATGCTTGCACTTCCGTTTCGCGTGGAAAATCGCGATAAAACCGGCCTTGGTTCGCATCTCCGTTCCTTCTCTCCTCGAGCGACTTCTGGCTTAGCTTTGGGTTTGTTAACGCGAAAATAAGAGCGCGTCGAGTGGTCGACACGGTGGGACACGGCTATTGATCGAGGGTCTAAAATATATAAGGAGGACAATCGCGAACGGGGACGTTATAAAATAGGAGAATTTTGGATCTTAGCTTTCCGAAATATCCCTACCGGCGCCGTTAAATCCTCACTTGCCAAGTTGCGAACCTTTAACCTACTTTCCCATTGACGCCCATCTACAGCGAGTCCCGGGCCGCATTTAAATCGTATTTATTTAACCCCGTGACGAAACAACCCGTGCCGAAAATAAGAATCTCGCCGATGTACCGATCAATTTGCCTGGATTTAGAGCAGCCGTATCGATTACGCTAATAACGCCGTTACGAAACGTCTATTTATATTTCCCATCGATTCGCGCGATGCAAGGGGCGCGAGAGAAGAATCAGCTGATCGGATCGACCGGTTCCAGCTATATAAATTTCGCTCGCTTATTCGCCGATCCCGGGCTCTAATTAAGTAACAACGAGTCACTGTCGTTCATATTTAGTATCCGAGGCCAGACTTCCTCTTCCTCGAGGAACAAGACCTAATAACTACCGATTTAACAGCCTACGTGGCCATATTTAACCACTTGCGCTAGAAAGACGTGCCACGCACGTGTCGAGATGCTTTTGTTCCAAAATCGCCAACGACGTGTACACCACGTTGAAAAGCATTTATCGCAGAAATGAAAATGACGTGGGCTGCACGTCGGCTAACAACAAAATCGTGCACGGCGTTCCATAGTGTCATCGATATCTTGGAAATATTTCAGAATCGACACGGTATCTCGCGGCGCCAATGTGACACCTTGCGCGTGCTACACTGTAGCGCTCGGCACCGCAACCGTGAGTTTATTAGTAGCGCGAGTGGTTAAATACCCCGGAACGCGAATCCTCGTGACAGGACAGGGGTCCTGAATCCCGAACGTTGCCTGGAAAAAGTGGAAAAAACAGGGAAAAAGGGAAGACAGGGTCCGAGTCGTGATTCGAATTCGTAGCATCTGTTTGCCGTTCTAACTAATTAAATTTCCCGGTCAGTCGACGAATTGTTTCCCTCCGAGTCTAATGTTTAAACTACCCCTGGCCCGGAATACCTGATCGGGTAGCTAACTGGCCGATAGCCGAGTTGATTTCGGGTCCACGAGGTTGCCTAAGATTACCCAAGATGATCCAAGATCATCGGAGATCCCTATCCCCGGTTAATAACGAGATCTGTTTGCTCCACAGCGAAACGAACGACATGAACACGGGCCTCCTGGTCGAGGTCTGGTGCAAGGGTTTCCTGTGGGACCGTTTCTTGGGCTACTACTACGTGCCGTTATCGGAAGTGTCCTACATGAATGAGGTAACGTCTAAGCAGTCCTACGATACAAGCAACGGCACGGTATCGACAGGGGTACAAGAACAACGACACATATCCTCTGACAGCATGCGCGACACGAACAGCAATACACAGCCACCAGACATCACCGACACGGTACACTAATTGATACGTGTAGCTAGATCTCCGTCTTAGCTCGCAGATTCCTTCCTAAGCGTGCATGCAACCGCGCGTACCCTGGCTTCGCTATTATTTTGCCATCGATTAGGTACTGCGTCCCCGCATTCCGTGCACGTGGCACCCTTATCGCGATACCGAGTATCCACGTCCCGTGTATTATAAATGAACCCTTGCCGATCGTTCGCGACGTGTTTGATCCGAAATAAACGGAAGAGTTATGAAAGTGGCGTAACTATGGGGCCTAGTTCGCGAAATCCACATTCACTGAGAATTACAGCTTGAACGTGTCGCTGATCTTTAAGAGGCTATCTCTCGTGTACCGTGCTCAGAGGTAGCCGTGCCGGGTATATATTTAGGTGCGAACGGGAGCGTTCAGCTTTGAAAAATGAAACGACGCATGGTAGATTAGGTCAGGATCTATGACCAGCTTCCGAAGAGTAGACTTTGGTTAGGTAGATTGCGACCGTGGGCAGATCACGTTCTACAGTTTCTAGAAGCTATTCGAATCGAAGGGATATCGTGGGTGCTAAAGAAAGAAGGCACTATTTCCTGTTAATACAAGTTTCACTAGCGAAGGGGGCTAGTAGCTGTCACGGTACCTATCTTTGGAAGCTCTGTCCCACGGTGGTCAACGTCTCCGAGAATCATGACATGGACTGGTCGTAATGACATGAACTGGGCCCCCATTGACTCGGGACTCTCGATGTCTCTAGCAATGGAAATTATATCTAGGCATTCCTTTTCTGCATTGACAGAGGCGTGCCTAGAACATTATAGTCGTTGTAATAAGGCTTGCAAGGATAGTGTCAGGTATGTTGTAGGTCAATAATGATCTTTAGGTCTGGTGGACCTTCCATATTGGGCAGCCTTGCTTCGGGTTTTAGTTTATAAGGACCCTCTGTTTCCTAGAAACTGTCAATCTTAAACAGTGTACAGTATGAAGAGCATTATTACAATTGACAAGGACATGCAGGTTCCTTTATATCTGTATAAGTATATGTAGGAAACTATATTAAACTCATTCAGTTTGAACTAAAGAAATATATTTTTGTATAAAGCGATGTGGTGACGAGGTTTGACAAGGAACTGAACTGTCACGCTCGTAATATCGCTGAGAAAAAGGAAAAATTAAAACAAATGCCGGTGCAGATGCTGGCTTAGACTACACACTCATCATCGTTACACTTCAACGATATATTTGTATCCTTTATTGACAATAGACTTCATATACTTCATTGCTGTACAACTGTCAACGGATAGTTCCCTATGCATTTTAGCTCTCTGCACTCCGAGCAATTTTTAATATGACCTGTCAGAAACTTCGAGTCATTTTACTTTTCCTGTCAGCTTTTATAGTACAATGTTTACCAATCAGGTAGTAGAATATTTCATTTTCATCAGTTCTTCTGTCAAAGGTATATTGACAACAGGTTGCATAAACGCTGCAATTTCATATGAGAAATTAGAGCAGTAGTAAATCTAGGAACTGTGTTTAGACTTGGACCTGTCACACATACACTTGGACATGAATTCATCGAGCTATATCGAGAGATCACTGAACTCTGTTGGTCACGTTGGAACTATCATGGATCTTCAAAGATTCACTTAGCACTCGAGTTCTAGTGACCATATATACAGCAGGAACTGGTAGGATCAACCTTCGGAGTAGCTAGACCTTCGGCGACTTCCACTTAGCACAGATACAGCACTTTGGGGAGGGTTGGATAGTTCCCCGTAACGGTTGCAGCTTTTTCTCTTCAGCGACCCCGGGGTAACGAAGTAGGGGTGCGTGGCGTCGCACGGATTCGCTAAAAAGGACGAACCACCCCTCTGGGAGCGATTCCTCCACTCGTGTCGCGTTCGCTCTCTAACTTGGATCGCGAGGGAGCCGATTTCTTCTTTAAAGGAACACCGTGCTGCTCCTTTTTCCTCCAAGGTTCTCGACGATCCCGATTCGAAGCGTGTTGACACGTCATTGCGAGCTGAAAGCTGCTACGCAAAACCCCTTGCGAATTTTTCATTCGTGACCCTCGCGATATTATTTTCCTATAAATAGCGCGAGATCGTGCTACATTTGGTGTCTCGCTTTGCTTTATTCCGTAACGGAGGAAGGGAAAAAGGAAGCGTGACGGAATAGGGGCGCGGAATGTGTCTTGATACGTTTAAATGACATCGCGTGTGGGCAACTGTTCGTTGCCACATGCGTGAGACGACTTAAAAAGTCCTGTTGATAGATCGGTTGCACGATACGTCGTCGTTCTTGCCTAAAGATTTCACTACCCTTATAATGGGCTGAGTGATGGCGGAGTCGTATTGGACACGGTTGGCACTAACTAGCTATGACAGCGAAAGGTGCTAATTCTGAAATAGATTTCGTTTTGTTGGGAATAGAAATTTCTTTTCTGTTATGTCACAGCATCAGTCTAACTCTTGTCAATAGATGGATCTCTATTTGAAGGAGGTTCGAGGACTTTCTTGCAAGTCCTATGCTGTCATCAGTTTATACTCTCTTTCCTGATGTGCAGAGCTCAGAAAAAGGTGTTCCAGTTCTGTTCTTCCGTTCACACACTATTCGCGCGTAGTTTCTACTCGCTGTCAGTTCTCGTTGAACGGAGCATAGTCCTCAAACAGGTTGGCAAGGCAAGGAACGGTCACGCGAGAACAGGTTGGAAGCAACGACTTGTCACTCGTGTTTTCTCGTTATCATCCATCGGAGAGTGGCGAACCTGTGCTGGCGGTTCGGACTAATCACCGTGATCGATAAGCCGACATCACGCTAGCTGGCGATCGCGCGAGCACGCTTCTGTGGAAGCCTCGATCCATCCTGGATCGAGGAAATATCGCGCGCGGCGTCGAGTGGATGGTCGAAAGGACTTGATATTCCCGCGGTGCCCGTGGCGCACGTGAAATGAAACTGAAACGAGTGTTTACACGTGGAACGAATCAATTGACGCCGGTTGTACGTCCGATGGTAGTGTGTAACGAGTTTTAGGTTAGCCTCCATGATGTCGTCGATGCGCCGGATTGGTCTGTGCATCGGTCCAAGCCGGTCGATAATGCGATTACCGGTGGACGCCAGTGTTTGTCCCCGCGGCTGAACGGCGGAATAAAATGTGATAGCTTGGAACTTCCGGCAGAGGAAATCGCCGGTTTCTGCTGGGTCGGGAATTAATTCGTTGCGAGGAAGATCATCCAGGTTGAATTCGATCTTCGGACAGACCCTGTGCAGAGCTACGAAGCAGTAGCTTAGGAAGGACATGGATCTGATTGCTCATAGCGTAATAGGTTTGACAGGTTTCTCACTTACAGTTGGCTATAAATGGGACTTCGCAGTCTCTGAACTGAGTAATTTTGATTTAAATTTGATCACGAAATAAATACTATGCATAGTTGGCAGGAGGTAGCCTGAAAAATACATGGATCTGATTGATCATAGAGTGATAGGTCTGACAGGTTCCTTGTATAGCTACAAAGGAGGATTTACAGTCGTAATTTTGATTTAAATTCGATAATGAGATAAATACTATGCATGGTTGGCAGAAGGTAGCCCGAAAATTACATGGATCTGATTGATCATAGCGTAATAGGTTTGACAGGTTTCTCACTTACAGTTGGCTATAAATGGGACTTCGCAGTCTCTGAACTGAGTAATTTTGATTTAAATTTGATCACGAAATAAATACTATGCATAGTTGGCAGGAGGTAGCCTGAAAAATACATGGATCTGATTGATCATAGAGTGATAGGTCTGACAGGTTCCTTGTATAGCTACAAAGGAGGATTTACAGTCGTAATTTTGATTTAAATTCAATAATGAGATAAATACTATGCATGGTTGGCAGAAGGTAGCCTGAAAATTACATGGATCTGATTGATCATAGCGTAATAGGTTTGACAGGTTTCTCACTTACAGTTGGCTATAAATGGGACTTCGCAGTCTCTGAACTGAGTAATTTTGATTTAAATTTGATCACGAAATAAATACTATGCATAGTTGGCAGAAGGTAGCCTGAAAATTGCATGGATCTGATTGATCATCGAGTGGTGGGTCTGATAGATTTCTCATCTAACTATCGATGAGACTTTACAGTCTCTAAACTGAGTAATTTTGATTTAAATTCCATCACGAGTCGAACACTATACAGAGTTGGCAAGAGGTAGTCTGAAAATTGTATGGATCTGATTGATCATAGAGTGATAGGTCTGACAGGTTCCTTGTATAGCTACAAAGGAGGATTTACAGTCGTAATTTTGATTTAAATTCGATTATGAGACAGACATTATGCACAGTTGGCAGGAAGTAGCCTGGAAATTATATGGATCTGATTGATCGTAGATTGGTAGGTCTGATGGGTTTCCCACCTAGCTATAAATGAGTCTTCACAGTCGCTAAACCTGACAATTTCACTTTTGTAATCTTCTAAAATTTCGACTTAGAAGTTCTTCGTTCTCTTTTGTACTTGAAATGAATTTCTGTCCCCTGTTCCCTGGGATTAATTAATTTTGTAAATGACAAGCTTCATAATCTTTCGATATTGATGGAAAGTGTCATGACTGTAAATTGGTTTGACGCAGTGGCATAAAATCAGTGACATGAAAGCAGATGTAATAGCGTAGACATGGGATCGTTACTAGTCGCATGATAAAAACACTATGCTTACATTTGCTGGCAAGAGTTTGGAAGTAGGGTTTTAGGGAGCATCTCGACGCTCTGCGAGACTTCCAGTTCTGCATAGCGCTGTACGAGATTCGTGAGTTGGCAATCAGGAGGAATGCGGATCCGACTAGCCACAGCGTTACAGGTCATCCTTATCTGACACAGTCCCCAAGATAGGTCGATTCGACGAAAAACAGGATCGTATATTTTTCCGCGTCGAAAAGCTTAATCAGGACACGCGAAGACGAAAAGAGTCTAACCGAGAAAGCACTGACATAGACGTAGGATCAGTGTTAACCGTTCGTCGTATGATAGAGGA